CTGGAGTGCAATGGTGTGATCTTGGCTCAGTGCAACCTCTACCTCCCGGGTTCAAGCGATTTTCCTGCTGTAGCCTCCTGAAGTAGCTGGGATTACAGGTACCCACCACCATGCTCAGCTAATTTTTTTGTATTTTTAGTTGAGACGGGATTTCACCATGTTGGCCAGGCTGGCTTTGAACTCCTGACCTCAGGTGATCCACCTGCCTTGGCCTCCCAAACTGTTGCAATTACAGGCGTTAGCCTCTGCACCCAGCTGGTTACTAAACATTCTAACATGCATGGGACAATCTTGCATCGCAAAGAACTGTCCCACTTAAAATGCCAATACTGCCCTGATGAAGAAACATCAATAGATGATTTTTAACGTTCCTTCAACCTATTTGGCCTTCAAAACTTAAGTGAAATGTAGGGAACTTAAGAGACTCAGGAAAGAACTATGAGGATAATTAAAATGTTGGATTATTCAAATTTATAGGAAAAGTTTTAAAAATGAGCTTATCTCTCCCAAAGAGAAAAAGGATGATTTAAGAACTGAGACTATGTTGATGATACAGGGGAAGTCTGACCAATAAATTTTCTTTTTCCATGGAAACATAAACAAATCAACACGCTATGGGGTCAGAAATTACATTGGCTTTCTTGAGAAAGACTTGAAATCATAGATGCAAGAGGGGACATTACAACTGATACCACAGAAATAAAAAGGATTAAGAGAGACTACAAGGAACAATGATAAGCCAACCAATTAGATAACCTAGATGAAATGGATACATTTTCAGAAACATACAACCTACAAGACTAAATAAAGAAAAAATAGAAAGCCTTAACAGACCCAAAACTAGCAAGGAGACTGAGTCAGTAGTTAGAAATCTTCCAACAAAGAAAAGTTCTCTATCAGATAGCTTCACCAGATAATTCTACCAAACATTTAAAGAAGAATTAATGCTAATCCTTCTCAAACTCTTCTAAAAAACTGAACAGGATGGAACATTTCCTAACTCATTTTATGAGGCCAGCATAAGCCTGATACCAAAGTCAACTATGCCACAAGAAAACTACAGGCCAGTATCCCTGATGAATGTAAGTGCAAAAATTCTCAACAAAATACTAGTAATTTTTTTGCTGGCAACAAATACTAGCAAACCAAATTCAACAGCAGTATGCAGTACTCTCTCTATACTATATATATTATATATTATACATATATTATATATAATATTTTATATTTTAATAGTATAATTTTTTAGTTTTATATTTTATATATAATTTTTATTTTTATATTTTTATATTATAATAATTTTACTTTAATAATTACTATTATATTTATATATTTTATAATAATTCTTTAGTATTCTTTATTTATACATATGATCATATATATATTATCAATACATAATATTCTATATTATATATCTATAAAATATTTTTATATTATAAATTTATATATTATCACTATTATCATTTTAACATTAAATATATTATAATAGATATATTTAATGATAATATATACATATATTATATATTATACCATTATACATATATATTAAATATATACATGTATAATATACATGTATACGCAAAACATGTATTTCCAAAATGAAATGCTTGCTCTGCTAGCAAGCTTTTTCCTTGAGTAAGCAACAATACTGTTAGTAATTTTCAAACGTAATACACATACACACACACACACAAATGCCAAAGCAAGTCCTATTCTATGATTTATAAATCATACGGTGAATATCCTCTGGTAGAACTAAAATGAAACATTCAGGGCACTGAGTTTTATAATTTGAAAAATGATAATACTAGTTGATATTGACAAATTCAGTTTGATTTTCAATGTTTCAAAATATAATTTATCACAAAGGTCTTAACAATTGAAAGTACTTAACTAAATCTGATATATGTAGATGCTTGGCATAATACATATATTACTATGTGATACATGTATCACATATAATATACATATATTATATATAATATATCAACTTTATAATATATTAATGTATATGCTTATAATGTATCAATATATAATATATAATGTATAGTATAATATATAGAATGATATATTTATATATAAATTAATACTATATTTAATTTATATTAATTTATATAATATAATATATATTATAAATAATTATATAACATATTATATATAAAAATTAATATTTATTATATATAGACTTTCAGTCATGCAAGATGAAAACATTGTAATATATAAAGTTACAGTAGTGAGAATGGCATGGTAATGACATAAAGGCAGATACACGGACCAATGGAACAGGATAGAGAGTCCAGAAATCCTCCCATATATAGAGGGTCAAATTATATTCAACAAGAGTTCCAAGACTCCACAAAAGTGTAAGAACTTATTCTTCAATAAATTGTGTTGGGAAAACTGTATATCCACACGCCACAGAAAAAAACTGGATCCTTATTTTATACCATGCAACAAAATCAACCCAAAACGAATTAAAGAATTAAATATAAGATTTGAAACTACACAACTACTAGAAGAAAACCCAGGGAAAAAGCTCCATAATATTTGGTCTTGGCTGTGATTTCTTAGACATCACAAGAAAAGAACAGGTAACAAAACAAACATAGACAAGTAGAATTATATGAAATTAAAGGCTTCTATGCAGCAAAGGAAGCAATCAATAGAGTGAAAAGGCAACTTACAGAATGGGAAAAAATTTGCAAACCATATATCTGATAAGGGGTTAATATATTAAATATATAATAAACTCCTACAACTCAACTGCAAAATATCCAAATAATATAATTTTAAAAAGGGCAAAGGACTTGAACAGACATTTCTCCCAAGAAGATATACAAATGGTCAACAGATACATGAAATGATACTCAAAATCACTAATTATCAGGGAAATGCAAATCAAAACCAAAATGAAATGTCACCTCTTAAGATGGTTATTACTTAAAAAAATAGACAAGTGTTAGTAAAGTCGTGGAGAAACTGGAACTGGAGAAACTGGAACCCTTGTACACAGAGGGTAAGAATGCAAAATGGTACTTCTGCGATGCAGTATGAAGATTCCTCCACAAATTAAAAATAGAACTACCATATGATCTAGCAATTTCACCTCTGGGTACATATCAAAAAAACTGAAAACAGGATCTTGTAGAGATATTTGCACACTCATGTTCACTGTAGCATTATTTGCAATAGCTAAGATGTGGAAACAACGTAAATGTCCACTGACAAATGAATGAGTAAACATGGTCTATATGTAGAACAGAAGATTATTAAGCCTAACAAGGAAAATCCTGTCATATGTGACAACATGGACAAACTAAGGTCATTATGCTAAGTGAAACAAGCCAGTCACCGAAGGAAAAATACTGCATGATTTCATTCATATGAAGTACCTAAAGTAGTCAAACTCATAGAATAAGGTAAAATTATAGTTGCCAGAGCTGAAGGGAGGAGAAACAGGGAGTTGTTTTACAACAGGTATAGCATTTTAGTCATGCAAGTTGAAAAAATTGTAAGGATTTGCTGTACAACATGGAGAGAGTTAGCAACACTAAAGTATGCACTTAAAAACTGGTTAAAGGGTAGGTTTCATGTTGTGTGTGTGTGTGCGTGTGTGTGTGTGTGTGTGTTTTAATCACAATAAATTAAAAAAAAAAAAAACTAAGAGAAAAAGGAAATTGGATCCATGGGTATGAAGGTTTGAAAACAAATGGATTTTTATTGGTTTCAGACAGTTCACGCAGAATCTTGCTTGTAGACTAGGTAGGAGCATTTAGGTAACTTCTCACGTCGTGCCCAGCACTTCTGTTTCTATGGATACAGTTATTAGGTTCCAACACACTGTGATATCCTACTCAATTGCCAGGCTAGAAAGCTGAGGATGGAGGCACAACTTCCCATCTACCCCATACCCTAGTAAATACCCCCTGCCTCACTGTTCAATGGGGGTTAATCATGAGGCCCAACAACGAAGGGTACAGTGGGAAAACTGGAGTCTAGCCCAGCACTACAGTAAAATCTACTTTGATTCTTAGTAGAAATAAAAGAAAGAAAAAAAGTAGAACCACAGTAAAGGGCTACTAAGGGAGAAAGCATTTGTCACCGTGGACAGAATAAAAGTACCACCAAATGAAATAAATGCCTATGGGAAAAGATGTGTCATGCTAGAAAGTACTGTGCTCCTTCTCCTTTGCTCTTCATTTAGTTTTTATCCATGCAATGTACCAAGCCTTATCCTATATCCTGTTTCTTTTCCCAGCTTTGAAAGATGCATGGACTGAATTTAGCCCTTGGTTAGGTCTTTGTCAGAAAGTACCTTCAAAATAAAAGTGTTTTACTTGGTACTATCTCAACAGCAAACATGTATTTCCAAAATGAAATGCTTGCTCTGCTAGCAAGCTTTTTCCTTGAGTAAGCAACAATACTGTTAGTAATTTTTCAAACTGTTAATACACATACACACACACACACAAAATGCCAAGCAAGTCCTATTCTATCATTTATAAATCATACGGTGAATATCCTCTGGTAGAACTAAATGAAAACATTCAGGGCACTGAGTTTTATAATTTGAAAAATGATAATACTAGTTGATATTGACAAATTCAGTTTTGATTTTCAATGTTTCAAAATATAATTTATCCACAAGGTCTTAAACAATTGAAAGTACTTAACTAAATCTGATATATGTAGATGCTTGGCATAAATTTATTGAATCTATTCAGCTATAATTTATAAACACAAAAATAAAATTTGTTTTAAGCCAACGTGGGGTATATTTTATTTCTAATATCCTTGTTGCATTCCACAGAGTATACACAAATAAGTATGACAAGATATTTATTTTCATTTATATCTGACTTTCAATGAAATTAAGAAATGAAAGTGTTTAAAATCTACTCCCAGAGTTCTAACTGAAATAGAGTATAAATATTTTCCATTAAAAAATATCCCTCAAAATTAATATCTTCAGTAAGAAAAATGAAAAAATTAACACAAACCTTAAAACTGCCAGCAGTTCAGAAGATAAATGTGTTCTTTGGGGACTTGATCGAAACCATGTATTCAAAAAAGTCTTTTAAATGGATGCTCTTCACAAAGGAACTCCCATGGAAGACAGCGTGGTTCTGACATACCAGAGGCTTCTGGAAGCAAAGAAAAGCACACTGTTAGGAAATGTCTAAAGTACCATTACTGTCTGTAATGGTATTATTATCACTTGTATGTATTATCAGCATGATGTTATTAATGTCTATCAATTTTGTACCCTAAATCATCTTATTCATCAATGGCAGAGTGGGACAGTAACCTTTCAATATTGTATTTAGAAATTTCTAAAGGCCAGGAGTATTCATAACTAAGCAAACTTCTGCTTTTCCTCTTATCTAGGCTGGGATTGAATAACTGTGGGCAGGGTATGAGCACAAGAGCAGTGACGGTATTTACTGAGTGCCTACCAGATATAAGGTAGTGTGCAAGTGGCTTTTAAATCTGGGATCTTTAATATAAAAACACTGTGATTGAAAAGTATTGGCTCCATTTTACAGATGAGAAAACTCAATGCACAGATTGCTGACCTCAGGCTTAGAACTTGTAACCATCAAAGTTCAAAGGCCTCAGGTCAGGTACTTCCCTTCATCTCACTCTGTAGCCTTGGTGATTTAGAAAAATATTTCCCAAACAGAACTGACAAGAGAACAGATAATGCTGCAACATACTAAATTAATTCAAATATTACTAATTAATTAAGAACTTGTCTTGCCTAATTTGCTTTAGTTTTATATTAAATATTGTCTTATTGAGTCAGGCCCACATAAATACAAATGCCCAACTTTAAGCAGTATATGTTTTTCTTCCAACTTTTCTTCCTTAGGCAAAGAGAGAGAACTTGCTGGAAACTGAGAAGCTCCTTTGTGTTTGGTGTGGGATTATGTGCAGCGTTACATCAAGGCTGGCACTGCAAACTTCTCATTTTCCTCTGGCCCCTCCATGTGACCCACAGTTCCTCCACTGTCCTGATGAATGAGAACACTTGGTTTTCCTGATTGCATCAGGAACTGAGCCCACATCCTCTGTGGCTATCACTGAGTGATATTACTGTATCTCGTTGTGGCTACATCCACCTTAATGGCTGAGGGTGACAAAGCAAGGGCTCTAGTTGGGTTTCCATTCTCGTTTTTAGTCAACTATCTCTATGTTTGTTTCTGATGGTTCCAGTGCCAACACAGAGACCCCCCCAACTTACCCACCACCAGCTGTCCCAGTACCCACTCTCACACTGTGTTGCGGGGTTACTGCTCACCAAATAAATGCTTCAACACATCCCTTGAAATGATAGCTTTGGATGCCATAGACTTTGTCTGTCCTGAACCTTTTAGCTCACGGCCCCATCGCATGACCAAAAGTCCCTTAGATGAGACTAGAAAATGATGGAGCCAGGAAGGTCATGCATAACTTTTGAAATTTTTAGTTTATTGGATTTTTGGCCACAAAAGCTTCAGTCATGAATAAAGAAACAAGGGAAAATGATTGATGGTATTTTCAAGTTCTACAGAACCAGAGCCTAGGATTATTACACAAGGAAAAAGGAAAAAGAACAAAGGAAAACAGAGCTAGTTTATCTTTGCATGAAAGAAGAAAGGTGAGCTTGAGAAAGAATGAGGAAAAAAGACTTGAACCAATGGATCTAAACTAAGTGACACGAATGTGAAATGAATAGCAACTCTTCTTAAAACCTCATACACTAGCATTCTGTTTACTTCATACCACTCAAAAACAAATTATCAGGCCGGGCACAGTGGCCCACGCCTGTAATCCCAGCACTTTGGGAGGCCAAGGCAGGCAGATCACTTGAGTCCAGAAGTTCGAGACTGACCTGGCCAAGGTGGTGAAACCCTGTCTCTACAAAAAATACAAAAATTGGCCAGGCGCGGTGGCTCATGCCTGTAATCTCAGCATTTTGGGAGACCGAGGTGGGTGGATCATGAGGTCAGGAGATGGAGACCATCCTGGCTAACACTGTGAAAGCCCATCTCTGCTAAAAACACAAAAAATTAGCCAGGCGTGGTGGCAGGCGCCTGTAGTCCCAGCTGCTTGGGAGGCTGAGGCAGGAGAATGGCATGAACCTGGGAGGCAGAGCTTGCAGCGAGCCAAGATCACACCACTGCACTCCAGCCTGGGTGATAGAGCAAGACCCCATCTCAAAAACAAAAACAAAAACAAAAAACAAAAATTAGCCGGGTGTGGTGGTGCACACCTATTAATCCCAGCTATTCAGGAGGCTGAGGTATGAGAATCACTTGAACCCAGGAGGTGGAGGTTGCAGTGAACCAAGATTGCACCACTGCACTCGGACCTGGGTGAGTAAGTGAGACTCTGTTTCAAAAAAAAAAAAAGTTAGGAAATAGTAGTAGTATTGTTGTATAACAGATCTTGGGTGTTATTGGTGATGGAAAATGTGTTCTGAAGCTCAGAGGAATTGGAGATCCTCTCTGTTGGGGATGAATGGAATCAAGAAGGCTTCAGTGATGAAGATAGCATTTAAGATCAACTATAAGTAAACACACAGACATGATTAGGCATTTATAGAAATTCTATTATAATTGAAAAGCCAGAATATTATATACTTTAGAAAAAAATAGGTTCATGAAATTAGACATTATTTTCCAGGATTTGGTATGAAAATAGATACCTAACCTGACAACACAGCCAGGTAATAGTACAAAGAAAATCAATGTACTGCTACCAAGAGAGGCACACGATCCCATGGGGTCCTGTTCTATTCAACTGTAATCCAAAATGACACCATGGCTTTTAATGGAGCTTGGCAAGCTCTAGACATGCCAATTTTAAACTTAGCCTCAAATTTAAATCATAGGGCTTGAGACTCAAATCTCCAATGTGACCTTTCCTGCGTATTGTTCAAGAAAACAGGTCTGTCACTGTGGACAGAAACCACATGCCCTTTTACTCTGGAAAGTATAATGAAAAGATGTACTGTACTTTTACAAGCACAGAGCCACAAAATGATGGTGGCTGTAATTCCCTAGAAGCAATAAAAGCAAAGACTGTTTGATTTGTAACATTCATTTAGAAATGTCTTATTGCATTAATGAACATTCTTATTTCCCCCATATTTGGGACTTTAGTTCAAAAAAAGCTTGGCAGGAATCTCATCATTTATAAATTTAACATATAGTTCCTCTGAATACAGTTATTTTGCAAGGGTTCACTGAGCCACACTACTTCGTCCTTGCCAGACCCATACAATATTGTACTGAACAGAGGAGCTAAAAGCCCACAGTGGCTTGAATTCCCCTATACCCTCCCTATTTTCTAGCCGTGGAAGGTCTAATCAAGGAGAGTTCTAGGGTTGAAATGTGCTCAGGTGTTACCAATGTGATAGTATGACGAGGTACAGCCTTTAAGAGATGATTAGACCATGAGGACTCCTCCCTCATGAAGGTGATCAAGGCCCTTATAAAAGAGGCTTCACACAGCATTCAGGTAGCTGACCCGTCTGTCTTCCACCATGTGCAAACACAGCAATACTCCCCACTCCAGAGAAACCATCTTGGAAGTGGAGAGAAGCCGGCACCACAGACAACGGAATCTTCTGGTGCCTTAATCTTGAACTTTCTAGCCTCCAGGACTGTGAGAAAATAAATGTGTATTCTTTATAAATTACCTAATCAATGGTATTTGTTATAGGAACAACAAACAAAGGCAGAAATTGGTACCAGAGGAATAGGATGATGCTGTAATAAATACCTAAAAATGTAGAAACAGCTTTGGAATCAGGTAATGGGTAGAAGCCGGAATGATAATGGGTAAATGCTGGAAAAAGCCGTACTGTCACGAACAGAACATTAAGGGCAATTCTGGTGAGGGCTAAGAAGCAGCAGAAGACTAGGGAAAGCCTGACTTTCTTATGGATTACTTAAGTGGTTGTGAACAGAACGTTGGTATAAATATGAACAGTACAGATTATTCTGTTGAGATCTCAGATGGACATAAGGAACAGGGTACTGGAAGTTGGAGGAAGGGCCGTCCTTGTTATAAAATGGCAAAGAATTATGCTGAATTTATAATATATTTTATTATCCTGTCCTAGGACTCTGTGAAATGCACAACTTAAGAGCAATTAACTAGAATATTTGGTGGAGTAAATTCCGAATTTTCCATTATCTCAAATTGTGAGCATTTGGGAAATTTTCAGCTCGGACATGTGGAGCATAAAAAATAAGTGTATTTAGAAGAGAAAACCAAGGGCATGACCAAGTGACTGTTTGGTAAGGAGATTAATAGGGCAAGAAGAAAGCCAGGTGCTATTCATCAAGACAATAGACCAATGACCTTAAACACATTTTGAAGATCTTTGAGGCTGCCCCTCCCATCATGGACACAGAGTGCTAGGGCTTTGAGGGCAGAATGGTTTTGAGGAAGGGACCCAGGGTGCCTGGGAGATCTGGGGACTCACTGCCCAGGGCAAGCTCAAGTCTCTACTCCCCACATTCTGGTACAGCATTCCTCAGCCTCCCCAGCTGTGGCTTGAGTGGACCCAGCTGCAGCTGTAAACCTTGGCAGCCTCCATATGGTCATAATTCTGAGGCTTACAGAGTGCAAGAGCCATGAGGCACAGCTACTTCCGCCTAGATGTCAAAGGATGTCTCAGGCAGCCTTGGGACCTAGGCAGGAACTTGCTTGCCACAAAGGTGGGGCCATGGCAGAGACCCTTCACTAGTGCAATGACTAGTGGAACTGTGGGGTCAGAGCCACTGCAGAGAGGCCTCAGTAGGGCAATCCTTAGTGCAGCCATGGGGGCAGGTTCACTCATAAAAACCCATTATTGTAGAGCCACAGCATGCATCTCCAGTCTGAGAGAGCTACAAGGGCTGAACTCCAACCGGTGAGAGCTTCTTCATGGGCTATGCTCAACAATGTTGTCATAGAAGGGTCTCCTGGAGCCTTGGAGACCCAACCCACCCCAATGTGTCTTGAAGGGAAGACACGAAGTAAAAGATTACTTTCAAGTCTTAAGATGTAATGTTTGCCTTGTTGGGTTTTAGACTTACTTGGGACCTGTTACCCCTTTCTTCTTTGCTATTTCTCCCTTTTGGAATGGAAATGCCTATCCTATGTCTGT